TGAATGACTCCTGAGTAAATAATGAAATTAAGGTAGAAATCAAGAAGTTATTTGAAACCAGTGAGAACAAAGAGACAACATACCACAATCTTTGTGACACAGCTAAAACAGGGTTAACAGGGAAATTTATAGCACTAAACGCCCACATCAGACAGCTAGAAAGATCTCAAATTGACACCTTAACATCACAATTAAAAGAGCTAGAGAGGCAAGAGCAAACTAATCCAAAAGCTAGCAGAAGACAAGAAATAACTAAGATCAGAGAAGAACAGAAGGAGATAGAGACATGCAAAACCCTCCCCCAAAAAATCAATGAATCAAGGAGTTGGTTTTTTGAAAAAATTAACAAAATAGATAGATAACTAGCTAGACTAATAAAGAAGAAGAAGAAAGAGAAGAATCAAATAGACACAATAAAAAAATAATAAAAGGAATATCACCGCAGAAATACAAACTACCATCAGAGAATACTATCAACAACTCTATACAAATAAACTAGAAAATCTAGAAGAAATTTATAAATCCTGGATACTTACACCCTACCAAGACTAAACCAGGAAGAAGTTGAATCCCTGAATAGACCTATAGCAAGCTGTGAAATTGATGCAGTAATTAATAGCCTACCAACCAAAAAAAGCCCAGGACCAGATGGATTCACTGCTGAATTATATGAGAAATACAAAGAGGAGTTAATACTGTTCCTTCCGAAAGTATTCCAAACAATTGAAAAGGAGGGATTCCTCCATAACTTATTTTATGAAGCGAGCATCATCCTGATACCAAAACCAGGAAGAGACACCACAAAAAAGGAAAACTTCAGGCCAGTATCCTTGATGAACATCAATGTAAAAATCCTCAATAAAATTCTGGTAAACTGAATCCAGCAGTACATTAACAAACTTACCCACCATGATCAAGTTGGCTTCATCCCTGGGATGCAAGGCTGGTTTGACATATGCAAATCAATAAACATAATCCATCACATAAAACAGAACCAAAGACAAAAACCACATGATTATCTCAATAGATGCAGAAAAAAACCTTTGATAAAATTCAACATCCCTTCAGTGTAAAAAAACTCAATAAACTAGGTATCGATGAAACATATCTCAAAATAAGAAGAGCTATTTATGACAAACCCACAGCCAATATCACATTCAGTGTGCAAAATCTGGAAGCATTCTCTTTGAAAACTGGCACAAGACAAGGACGCACTATCTCAACACTCCTATTCAACATAGTACTGGAAGTTGTGGCCAGGACAATCAGTCAAGAAAAAGAAATAAAGAGTATTCAAGTAGGAAGAAAGGAAATCAAGTTGTCTCTGCTTGCAGATAACATTATTTTATATTTAGAAAACCACCTTCATCTCAGTCCAAAAACTTCTTGAACTGATAAACAACTTCAGTAAAGTCTCAGTATACAAAATCAATGTGCAAAAATCACGAGCATTCCTTTACACCAACAATAGGCAAGCAGAGAGTGAAATCATGAGTGAACTCACATTCGCAATTGCTACAAAGAGAATAAAATACCTAGGACCTTTTCAATGAGAACTACAAACCACTGCTCAAGGTAATATGAGAGGACACAAGCAAATGGAAAAACATTCCATCCTCATGGATAGGAAGAATCAATATCATAAAAATGGCCATACTGCCCAAAGTAATTTATAGATTCAATTCTATCCCCATGAAACTACCATTGACATTCTTCTCAGAGCTAGAAAAAAACTATTTTAAATTTTGCATGGAATCGAAGAAGACCCTATATAGCCAAGACAATCCTAAGGAAAAAGAAAAAGCTGAAGGCATCATGCTATGTGACTTCAAACTATGTTACAAGGCTACAGTAGCCAAAACAGCATAATACTGGTTCCAAAAAAAAGACATACAGACCAATGGAGCAGAATAGAGACCTCAGAAATAACACCACACGTCTACAACCATCTGATCTTTGACAAACCTGACAAAAACAAGCAATGGGGAAAGGATCTCCTATTCAATATATGGTGCTGGGAAAACTGGCTAGCCATATGCAGAAAACTGAAATTGGACCTCTTCCTTACAGCTTTCACAAAAATTAATTCAAGATGAATTAAAGATTTAAATATAAGACCTAAAATCATAAAAACCCTAGAAGAAAATCTAGGCAATATCATTCAGGACATAGGCATGGGCAAAGACTTCAAGACTAAAATGCCAAAAACAATGGCAACAAAAGCCAAAATTGACAAATGGGATCAATTAAACTAAAGAGCTCTGCACAGCAAAGGAAACTATCATCAGAGTGACCAGACAACCTACAGAATGGGAGAAAATTTTTGCAATCTACATGGTTTACTATCAGAGTTTACAAGGCACTTAAACATGTTTACAAGAAAAAAGCAACTCCATCAAAAAGTGGGCAAAGGATACGAACAGACGCTTCTCAAAAGATGGGCAAAGGATATGAACAGACGCTTCTCAAAAGAAGACATTTACACAGTCAACAAACATGTGATAAAAAGCTCAACATCACTGATCATCAGAGAAATGCAAACCAAACCCACAATGAGATACCATCTCAAGGCAGTCAGAATGGCGATTATTAAAAAGTCAGAAAACAATAGATGCTCGTGAGGCTGTGGAGAAATAGGAATGCTTTTACACTGTTAGTGGGAATGTAAATTAGTTCAACCATTGTGGAAGACAGTATGGCAATTCCTCAAGGATCTAGAACCAAAAATACCATATGACATAGCAATTCCATTAATGGATATATACCCAAAGGAATATAAATCATTCTACCATAAAGACATATGCACGTGTATGTTTATTGCGGCACCATTTACAACAGCAAAGACATGGACCCAATCCAAATGACCATCAATGACAGACTAGATAAAGAAAATGTGGTACATATACACCATGGACTACTATGCAGCCATAAAAAGGAATGGCATCATGTCCTTTGCAGGGAAATGGATGAAGCTGGAAGCCATCATCCTCAGCAGACTAACACAGGAACAGAAAACCAAATACCACATGTTCTCACTGTAAGTGGGAGTGGAACATTGAGAACACATGGACACAGAGAGGGGAACAACGCACACCAGAGTCTGTTGGGGAGTGGGGGCTGAGGCAGGAGAATCACTTGAACCCGAAGTGGGAGGTTGCAGTGAGCTGAGATCACACCATTGCACTCCAGCCTGGGCAACAGAGCAAGACTCAGTCTCAAAAAAATTTTTTTAGAAAATTAGGACTAGAAGAAAAATTCCTCAACTTCATAAGAAGCACTTATGAAAAATTTAGAACTAAAATTACACTTAGAACAAATACAGAATATTTTTTCCTAAAATCAAGAGCAAAGTAAGGAAGCCCACTGTTCACACTTCTATTTAACATTGTACAGGAGGTTGTGGCCAGTAAAATAAGGCAAGGGAAAAAAGAGCATCATATTTGCCAAGAAGAAGTGAAATTGTTTTTATTCGCAGGTGACATCATGACTATCTACACAGAAAATTCCTTGGAATTTGGAAAAAAAACCCACAGAAATACTGCTGCAACTAATACATTGCTACATTACTTGGCAAGGTATAGTATACAGAATCAACATACAAAAATAATTGTGCTTCTGTGTACCAATAATGATCAGAAAATAAAATTTTTAAAAATATAATTTGCGGTAACATAGAAATATGACATATTAAGGCAAAACTGTAAAGGAAGATGGTCAAATTTGTATGCTGAAAAATGCAATATATTCCTGAGAGAATTTTAAAAAGATGGTAATAGGTAGAAAGATATATCTTATTTATCATTGCAAAAGTCAGTATTATTTAAGGTGTCATTTATCCTCAAGTAAATCTATATATTCAGTGCAATCCCAATCAAATCCCATTGTATCTATGGAACCAGCCCAAACTGAGCCTACTCTGCTGATAACAGTATGTGGAGTCACCTTTTAGGTGTAACAGAGGCAAAAACTGCAAGTTAAGTAGCCCAGGCATGTATAATAAAATGAGTTTTGATTTCTAACAACACCCAGAACCAATGTATCCTCCCCTCTAAACCAGTAAGACTGGGACATAACAGGAACCTAGATGCTGGAACTCTTTCAGAAAGGAGGGGCTCCACTGACCTGGAGGATTCAGTGCTAAAATCCGCCTCAATATATCTTTCCACAAATGGTCAAATTTAAAGCCCTCCAATGAGACCCTGCAAAGCCATATTCCTAAATCCTTTGCCTTGCTCTCTGAACCCATAAATTTGCACCAGACCCAAAGTGGGGAGACGGAATTAATCCCTCTCCTGTCTCCTTGCTGACTGGCTTTAAAAGAAAGCCTTTCTTTTCTCAAAAGCCAGTGCCATAGTTACTGGCTTCTGTGCACATTGGGCAGTGGGTTCATTTGCTCAACAACACCAGCAGACTTTTTATGTAGAAATTAACTCACTAGTTCTAACATTTCTATAGAAATGAAAAGGAACTTAATAGCAGAAAACAAAACAAAACTTTGAAGAATAAAAACAAATTTGGAAGGCTAACATTACATAAATGTTACAAAGATTAGGACAGTATGATATTGGTAATATACCAATTAGCCAGTATATTAAATATATACAAATTTAGAACACTAGAACAGAATAGATCATTATGAAATAGACATACACATAGTAATTAATTTTGACAAATTCAACAGAACAACTCAGTGAATAATGATAAGGAAAAAAGGATAAGAATAAAGATTAGGATAATCTTTTCAACTAATCATGTTGGAACAGTTGAATATTTGTATGTAAAAGGCGGCTCTCCATATCTCTTTTCTTGCTAGGTGAGGGACTTGAAAGCCACATGTTTACTGTTGGATACTCCACTAGCCTGTATTCCTGAGAAACTACATGAAAATTGTCCCCACCTCACTCTGCATTTTTAAATTAAATTGGTCATATAATGTGAACCGAGAAATTAACCTTTCATGAAACTCACATTGTAGATGCTACAGCATAGCCTATCCTATCATGTCTCATCCAATGAGTAAGAAGCTTCTCAGTAAGTAATAGTCAACAAAAGTGAAATGATGTAAAGTTTTTGATATTTTATTTATACCTCACCCGAATCGAAGATGACTGAGCTAATAGGATTACTGCAAAGTATAAAAAAATTTATGAAAAATATACACAGATGTTACATATTCTATAAGGAAAAATGTCATATGTAACTTGTTTTTGTCTTAAATGCTTTTATTAAGATATAGTTCACATAATATACAATTCACTCATTTAGTATCCAATTAAATGAGTTTTAATATATTCCACAGACATGTGCAACCATCACCACTGTCAATTGTAGAACATTTTATGGCCTCAAAAAGAAATCCTATACCCTTTAGCTAACACCTCCCTATTGCCCCATCATCCCACCTTCCTCCCCACCCCAGCCTAAGCATCTATTAGTCTTCTTCCCATATCTGTATATTTTCATATTCTGGACTTTCATCTAAATGACATTATATAATATGGGGTCTTTTGTGATTGATTTCTTTTACTTAGCATAATTTCACAACTCATACATGTCGTATGTATCAGCACTTTATTCCCTTTAATAGTTAAACAATATTTGATTACACGACTAAAGCACCTTTTGTCTATTTATTCCCTGATGAACATTTGGGTTTTTCCTATCTTTTGGCTACTATAAATAATGATGCTCAGAAAATAAAAACTAAGCTAGTAAAAGACTTTCTGTATGTATGTGCTAAATAACTCTATTTTAGTTATGTATTGTTCTTTAAAACACCCTGAGTCCAAAACTCAGAGATACAAAACAACAATATGTTATTTTTTTTTTTCAACTTTTAAGTTCTGGAGTACACGTGCAGAATGTGCGGTTACATCGGTAAACATATGCCATGGTGGTTTGATGCACAGATCAGCCCATCACCAAGGTATTAAGCCCAACATCTACTTGCTATTCTTCCTGATATTCCTCCTCCCCCAGCCTCCCACCCCAACAGGCCCTAGTGGGTGTAAAACAACAGTGTTTTATTATGCTTCCAGATTCTGTGGGTCAGGAATTCAGACAGGGCACTATGAGAAGTCTTGTCTCTGCTTCAAAATGTCTGGACCTTCACCTGAGAATATGTACACGGCTGACTATGACTCAAGTGGCAGGGGCTGCAATAATCAAGCAGACCTTTACTGTCATATCTATCACTGGACTTGGATGATCAGAAGTATGGACTCATTTGAAATGGTTGACTATATTGCCTACATGTGGCCTCCTCGTGTGGCTTGGGCTTCCTCACAGCATGCTGGTCTCAACTTTGTCAGACTTCTTATGAAGTGGTTCAGGATTGTAAGAGGAAACTTTCCAGTGACTAAGGGAAAATCCATACAGTTTTTCTTGATAGCCTTAGAAATTATATAATGTCACTTCCACTACACATTTATTGTTTAAAGCTGTTACAAGCCCACTCGGCTTTAAGAGGAAGGTCTGCAGGCCCTAGGCCTCAAAAGGAAGAGGATCAAAGAGTTTGTAGCCCTGTTTCAAAACTGCCACAGACTCTAAATGATCCTGGTATAGTATCAGAAAGCAGATTTTATGTATTTACTTAAACCTTGGGTACTTTATACATGATATGTATTGGTGAGGTAAGAAGATAAACTGTCATTTTAGACATTTGTGGCATGTGGTAGGAATGTGCCTCTGAAATCTCAGACTTGATGGAGCATAATTAGCTGCAGAAGGGCAAATTCACTTTAAGAAGAAAGAGGCTTAATTATCTCTGTTACAAATAAGCACTCTTATCTCTCAGTTTCTGCTGGGATCAGGAGCCTAACTTCAATGGCCACCAGGCTCCAAGTGGCAAGACTATCTCCTACATAAAGATATGCGTTTATTTGTCCTTTGTTTAAAGTCTATTAACTAACACAGATGGCCACCCCAATTTCCAGGTAAATTTAAGATAAACTATGTGTAATAAATAATGCTGCCAAGTCCTCTTTCCTGCAGATTAGTTATCACTTAACTTGAGAAAATGTATATATTGGGTCGTATGCATATATTGGTTATACAAAAAGGGGTGACATCTCTTTCTGTCTTTGCAGTCTCTTAGTAGGTTGCCTGTAATGTATATCAGATTCTGGTTTAATATTTATTTAATAAGAAAACTATTTTCTTTCTCTACTACCTTTGTGGGGAGACTTTCTGGGTTGAGAGGAGACTTTGCTTTTAATCCTATTTCCCCAACAGCTAACAAGCACAGCATCTATGCTATGAAGTCTATCACCCCATTCACTTCCATGAGCTGCTTCTAGCCAAAGACTGAGAAGGGGGAAGATTCAAAGGGCAGGCCTGTTCCTAGGAGACTCAGGACTCCTCTAATTTGCACCTTGGGCTTGATAACTCCCTACCGTACATCTTGAAATTTTCTCAGGACTGCACTGCTGCTTAAGACCTTCCTTCTTTCCCTCCCTCTCTCCTTCACAGGGGTAAAACTTACATCCTAGTACAACAGAGCTGTTCACCTTTCGCTCTCCCCTTGCTTTCTCATATAGGCATTTATCCCAGTGACTGCCTTGCTTCTCAGGAGATCCACGAAGACACCATATTTTCTATATGTGTTTAATGTTTCTAGCTTATAACTAAGGTGAATGGAAAAAAACATTTAAATCTTAAGAAAAAAAGATGCAAAAAATATTTTAAAATCTCTATTTTGTATTTTAACAAATCAGAATTCAAATCCTAGTTGATAGCTTTACAAGGAAATTATATACAGTGTCACAACAGCAGGTAATATAATATCTGCCTTGAAAATCAGTAGCTGAAATTTTGAGAAAAATAAAGGTCATTTTTTGTTTTTCAAAGATAACTAGGACTTTGGGAGCACACTGGAGGCATTCCATTCTTTTCCAGTATCAATCAATAGTACAGGATAAAGAAACATACTGAGTATTAAAGCTTTGGGTGCACAAATTTATAACATCTTATTTATAAATCAGTGGTGTACAGAAGGCAGAGATCCCATAATCAAGCATAGCAAACATGTTGAAGAATATATTTACAATGATTTCTGCTATAGATTTCATAATGGGGATTCAGAGAATTAGAGTTATGGTGTTGGTTCACTGCATTGATTGAATCAGGAGCTGGAAACTCTCCCTAATAGATTTTATTCCCACCTGTTGGGCAATTTCCAGAATACTGTGCTTTAATTTTACATGTGGGCTTAAATGTAAACTGAGGAAATTTTGTACAATAAGAATGCAAGGATAAGTTTGACATCCTCCAATATCTATAATTTCATTCCTGTTCCTCTTTATTATATACTATTTGAACAATGTGATTATAAAGTGAAATTATTCTAATCTACACAGCATTGTGGCACAGATTTTTGCTCTTGTGTTAGCATTTTTCTATCTATCCAGTCATTTATTTTTTTCTGATTTTATGGAACAACAAACTGAAACAGGCTTCCCTCTGTGTCCTGAGGAACCTTTGGTGTTACATGAATATAAGAAAATCTAAATCCTCACAAACACAACTGAATTGATTGGTGATTCTCTCAAAAATAAAAACAACAAATAGCACACATCTCTTTCATTTAACCCAACTTCTTTTATTATGTTAAGTGATAGATAATTGAGCTTCATTGTTGAAATTATCTGCCTGAAATAAGTTAAAAGAAAATAATTTCACTGCTTCCATCAGAATTGTAACTATATAATCAATGGTGAAATTAAAATTATAGTGTTATATAATAGTAACAATAAAATTAGATGAATAATACATTTTATGTTAAGCAAGATAATGAACATTTTAGCTTTATCTCATTTAGTTTACATTATGTTGATTTGATAAAAGCATACACAAATATACAGACAATCAACAGACTGACGATACAACCTCTTGAATAAGAGAACATACTTGAAAACTATTCATTTATCAAGCAATTCATATCCAGACTATAGAAGGAACTTAGCCATAAACACAAATAATTAGATTAAAACATGGGCAAATTAACTGAATAGCTGTCTCTCAAAAGAAGACATACAAATGGCCAATAGGTATATAAAAATGTGCTCAATATAACTAATCATCAGAGAAATGCAAATAAAAACCCCAATGAGATATTATTTCATTCTAGTTATAATGACTATTTTCAAAAAGACAAAAAAACAAACAAACCCACAAATGCTTGTGAGGATGTGGAGGAGGAACTTTTACACACTGTTGGTACAAATATAAATTAATTTAGTCATATGGAGAACAGAATGAAAGTTCTTAAAAACTAGAAATATAACTACCATATGACCCAGCAATCCCACTACTGGGTATGTATCCAAAGGAAAGGAAATCAATATGTCAAAGTGATATCTGCACTCCCATGTTTTTTGCAACACTATTCATAATAGCTGAGACATGAAATCAACCTAAGTGTCCATTAGCATTTGAATGGATTTGAAAATATGATACATATGCATAATGAATGGAATACTATTTAGCCATTAAAAGAAGGAAATTTGGTCATTTATGGTAGCATCCATAAGACTGGAGAACATCTGTTAAGTGAAATAAGCCAGATACGGAAAGACAAACATGACATGTTCACACTCATATGTGGAAGCTAATAAAGTTGATTCCATAGAAGCAGGAAGCAGAATAATGATTCCTAGAAATGTGGTAGGGAAGAAGGGAGAGGGAGATAGCCAAAGGTTGGTAAACAAATACAAAAGTGTAGCTAGATAGAAGGAATAAGTTCTAGTGTTCTATAGCACAGTAGGGTGAGTACAATTACAGCAATTTATTGTATATTTTCCAAGAGCTAGAAAAACAAATTTTAAATGTGCCCAACACAAAGAAATGTTAAATATTTGAGAAATGGATATTCTAATTGTCTTGATTTGATCATTACACATTGTATACCTGCATTCATATATCACACTGTATCATAAATATGTACAATTATTGTGTTGATTAAAAATAAAAAAATAATGCCAAAAAGAGGCAATCCAAGTAACAAAACCCAGACAAGTTAAAATACAGAGAAGTGGAGGACAAATCACAGTACAATGTGTGTATAAATAGATGTGTGTATTTGTATACATGTATAAATGTATCTATATATGTATCTATATCAGTATATATGGATATACACATAACAGATCATCATAAGTATATTCATGACTTTTTAAGCATTTTCCCCTCAAGACAATGTAACCTTAACAAAGTTCTATGGAAATATTTGAAGACTATAATATCTCAAAAAAACATTTTTTTTTTCATGGCTCACCACAGCCTCAACCTTCCTGGGCTCAGGTGATCCTCCCAACTCCACCTCCTGTGTGTCTGGGATTACAGGCGTGTACCAACACACCTAGCCCAGCTAATTTTTGTATTTTTGGTAGAGTCGGGGTTTTGCCACATTGCCCAAGCTGGTCTCGAACTCCTGGGCCCGAGCAATCTGTCTGCCTCAGCCTCCCAAAGTGCTAGAATCTTGCTTTCGAGGAAACAAAAGAAGTTCACTTTTTCCATGTTTAGTTTGGGGTGCTTATGTTTCATCGAAAGACATCATTTTTTTAAATGTGTTTAAAAAGCTACTGACAGATTATTTGGAAGGCCTGCATCTTTATAGTGGGGTTGTGGAGCGGTGGGGGAAGTTTCCCTGACAATTACAATACTCATATTTGATTCATATATTGCCCATTAAGTTCCTTGAAAATTTCAATCTCTGTGTTTTACTTTGTAATGTAGCAATCTACAGTGTGACTGCATTATAATTAATTAGCGTAAGAATTGCTGGTTTTCCCTACATGTTGAATTATTTTAATGTGGTGAAAGGTTTCTGTTTCAAACTTCAGATTTGTAAATCAAATGAAACACTTCGTTGGAAGAGGAGAAAGAATTTTATTCAAAATAATGAAAATTTGTCTGTCTTTATTTACATGTTAGCAAATGATAATTTGCTTTGTCAATCATCTTTCTATAAAGAAATTTACAGTTCATAGCTGACAGCTGGACCAAGACTGGAAATTCTTAGCAGAAGTACTTGGAAATTTTCAATGAATGTTACAGAGGGTGATTTCACTGGCTTTTTGCAGTTTGCTAAATTTTATAGCTAAAAAGAAGAGCCACGATAAGATAAAAACAATAACATTGTACAATCAAACATGAGATCTATGTTATTATCCAGAAAGTCATCTGAAAATTAGTCACACAACAAACTACAGATCAGAATTTTCTCTTTGTAGCCATGTTGAATATATTGGAGAAGGTTTCCATGATTGTAATAGGTGGGGGATTTATAAAAGGAATGTAGGAAATTAATTCATTGGACTCACAAATTTCATTGCCTGGATGAGAAATCAGAAGTTACGCATGGTTGGCTTCATTCTTACTAGTTTGGCCTTAGCCAGAATCAATGCTCTTCTATTAGAAAATCCCTAATGCAAGGGAAAGAAACCATATCCTTACTATTGTTCAGAGACTAGTCAACAACTTGTGCACTTGATTTGCTACTTGTCTGTCTTTTATTTCCTAAAGATCATTAATTTCTCCTACATCTTTTACCTTTGGCTAAAATGGAGAATTAACAAGGTAGCTTTCACACTTCCACTGGTGTCTGCCTTTTCTGTTTATGAACTTTCCTTTGCCGTACAGTTTTGATGTCTTCTGGTATCATGTCCAAAAAAATATGAAAGACATATGACTGGATTACTCGATGTAAGTAGTAATAAAACTGTTAATGATATAATCATCTTCATTACTGGATCTCTCTCTTCTTTCTCTATTTCCTTGATTTTCTTTTTCTTGTTACTCCTTTCTTCGTGAAGACACATGAAACACATTAGGTTCAATGTCAGGGCTTCCAGAGACCCCAGTGTACAGGCCCATTTCAGAGCCAAGAAAACTGTTTTCCTTTTTTGTCCTGTTGCTCTACAAAAATTTGCCCTTTTCTTGACATGTACGGGGGAATTTTTTGCTACAGAACAAACTGGTTGTGATATCTGGTTTATGATAGGAAATCAGTATCCTTTGGGTCACTCATATGTTGTGATTTTTGGATACAGCCAAACGAAGGAAGCTTTCTTGGGATTCTCTGGCACCTGCCAAGAAGGAAAGCAAACATCTGACTGTATAAACCTGAGTCTTTACTATAGAATGTGAGAGAGAGAACAGACAGACAAGGAGGAGGGAAGGGGAGGGGAAGGAAGAAGGGAAGGAGAGGTGAGGCAAACTGATTTCTTAAACTATACCAAACAGGTTAACAGTTAAAGCATCCCAGAAATATATGATGGAAATCTTCCTAAAGTCATTTTATAATATTAGTTACTATTAATAAGTGTAAGAAAGATATATTATATCTGAAAGTCCTTTGACATATACTCTTCATAAACAAGTAAGAAAATACTTTTGCCTAGTAAAGACTACTTACTTGAAATTTGACCATTTATTTATCCAGCTGCTTATGGGCATGGACTTACAGGTTCATATTTGATTACTATCATTATTTTAATGCTCAAATTGTTCCAGATCTGTCAAGTAAAAAAGACTTCAGGTTGGTTGCTGCCTTTAGAATCCTTCATTTATCCTTTGAGAGTTTGATTATTAAATGCTTTGAGGTTGTCTTCTTTGGGTTAAATCTGCTTGATGTTTTATACCATCTTCTATTTGAATATTTATATATTTATCTTGGATATTGATATTGAAGTTCTCTGATATTATACCTTTGAATAAACTTTCTACTCCTATCTCTTTCTCTAGCTTCTCTTTAAGGCCAATAACTCAGATTTACCCATTTGGGGCTATTTTCTAGATTTTATAGGTATGCCTCATACTTTTTCGTTCTTTTTTCTTTTGTCTCTTCTGACCATGTATTTTCAAATAGCCTGTCTTCAAGTTCATTCTTTCTTCTGCTTGATCAATTCTGCTATTAAGAGACCCTGATGCTTTTTTCAGTATGTCATTTGCATTTTTCAACTTCAGAATTTCTGCTTGATTCTTATCCATTTCCATCTCCTTGATAAATTTTTCTGATAGAATTCTGAATTCCTTCTCTGTGTTATCTTGAATTTCTTTAAGTTTCCTCAACACAGCTGTTTTGAATCCTCTGCTTGAAAGGTCACATTCCCTGTTTCTCTAGGACTGATCTCTAGGGCGTTAGTTAGTTAATTTGGTGAGGTCATGTTTTCCTGGCTGGTCTTGCTTGTAGATGTTTGTCAGTATCTAGCCATTGAAGAGGCAGGCATTTATTGTAGTCTTTGCAGTCTGGACTTGTTTGTGTCCGTCCTTCTTGTGAAGGTTTTTTATGTATTTCAAGGGACTTGGGATCCAAACCCAATAATGTTGTGGTTCCTGCAGACTTGTAGAGGTACTATCTTGATAGTCTTGGATAAGATATGGAAAAATTGTCTGGATTACCAGGCAGAGAAACTTGTGCTTTTCCCTTATTTTCTCCCAAACAAATTGAGTCTCTCTCTGTGCTGGGCCTCCTGGAACTGGTGGTTAGGGGACACAAGCAACGCTGTCTGTACCACCTCTGGGACATCTGGGTTCAAACCTAAAGTCAACACAACACTAAGTCTCTCCCAAGATCCAATGTAACCACTGCCTGGCTACCATCTAAGTTCACTCAAGGCCCCAGGCCTTTACAATCAGCAGGTGGCAAAGCCAGCCAGGTTTGCTTTCCTCCCTTCATGGTGGCAAGTTCCTCTGGGTCCCAGGTGGCTGCCTGGGAGCCAGGGATTAAAGTCAAAAACCTCAGTAATTTGCCTGATACTCTATTCTACCGCAGCTAAGCTGGCACTTAAACCACAAGACAAAGTCTTCCCACTTTTCCCTCCCTCTTTCACAGGCAAAGGAGCCTCTCCCTGTGGCCACCACCACCACTAGCCCACAGGGGTTTCTGCCAGGCCATCGCCAATTTTCACTTAAAGCCCGAGGGCTCTTCAGTCAGCTCATAATGAATGCTGCCAGCTCTGGGACTCACCCTTTGGCCCAGAGCAGATCAAGAAATGTTGACCAAGAGCCTAGGCCTGGACTTGGGGAACTCCAAAAGCCTGCTTGCTGCTCTATCCCACTGTGACTGTGACTGAGCCGGTACTTAAGGCTCAAGACAGAGCCCCCATTTTCTCCCCCTGCTTTACTCAAACAGAAGGAGTCTTTCACCATAGCTGGGAATAAGTTGGGTCACACCTGAAGCCAGCACATCTCAGAGGCCAATGCCCACGGCGTATTACCTGGGTATCACTGTTGGTTATTCAGGGCCCAGGCACTCTTTAGTGAGCAGGTGATGAATCCTGCCAGATCTCCACTGTGACAGGGCAGCAATGAGTTCAAGTTAAAGTCCCCTAGCCATTATGTGCTTTCTCTCTCATGCATACAAATTTCTCCATGCTGTGTGGCCACTGCCAGGGGATGGGAGAGGGGTGAAAAAGCACTCCCTCTGCCCCAAGCCTGGTGTCTCAGTAGGTCCTGTGCCCCACCGTCCACTGTCTATGAGCACAGCTGAGCCATAGGACTTTCCTAGGAATTACAGCACTTGTGGTCTAGACTGCCCCTGAAGTTCACTTAGGGCCCCAGGGCACACCAGCTCATGGTGGCAAGTCTTGCCAGAACTCAAGCTCTGACCTCTGGGATGGGCAGTTCCCCTCTGGCTAGGGCTGGACCAAATAGTCTCTCCGTAGGTGGAGATCAGCCGAATACAACCTGGTTCTACTTTCCACGGTGACAAGACAGCACCGAGTTCAAGGCAAAGCCTCACAATCACTGTGATCTCCCTCTCTGAAGCACACGGATTCTCCACACCACGAGGCCACTGCTGGGGCATGTGGGAGGGGTGGCATCTCCACTTCAAAACTATCTTTTCCACCCTCTTATGTGAAGTTAAAACCAGATACTGTGATTGTTCATCTGATTTTTGGTTCTTTTGATGGTGTTTTTGTGTGTAGTTAGCTATTAAATTTTTGTATTCCTATGTGTAACAAACCTGCACGTTGTGCACATGTACCCTAGAACTTAAAGTATAATAAAAAATAAATAAATAAATAAATTTCTAAGGAGATGGAGGTTGCAGTGAGCCGAGATCGCACCATTGCACTCTAGCCTGGGCAAGAGGGAGACTCTGTCTCAAAGAAAATAGTAAATAAATAAAATAAAATAAAATAAAATAAAATAAATTTCTAAAACATAGAATCTGAAAAAAAAAAATCACCGGGCCTGAAATAAACCCACTTCTTTTTAAAAATTAATTAATTTTTAAATGGGGTCTTGGTCTATTGCCAAGCCTGGAGTTCAGTGGCAAGAACTTGGGTCAATGCAGCCTCTAGCTATTGGGCTCAATTGATCCTCCCACCTCAGCCTCCCAAGTAGCTCTAAGTACAGGCACATACTATCATGCTCAGAAAAAAAAAAATTTTTGTAATTTTTTTTTATAGAGATGAGGTCTCACTATGTTACCCAGGCTAGCATCAAACTCTTGGGCTCAAGCAATCCTCCTGCCTCAGCCTCCAAAAATGTTGGGATTACAAGCATAAGCCACTGTGTCCAGCCCCCAGTTCTGTCTTAATCTTAATGCAAAGAGTCTATGCTCTGCTGCCTTCCTAGTGGGTGTAATGGGATTTATAAAAAGACAGAAACCATTACGCAGATGGGGTCTTTTATTTTGCTGGTAGGTTGTACACTTTGTAAGACTGGGGGTGTTCCCTGTTTTGTTCACTGTTCTGTCTTTGCCACTCAACCCAATGCCTACCATAAAATAGTGCATAATAAATGTGTATTGAATTTAAAAATAAATTTGTATTCCTGCAGGGGGTATGAATGGTGTAGGCTTTTATTCAGCCATCTTGCTCTACCCCCAGGTTTATATTTTTAACACCACAGTGTGTTACCTCTATTCTACTTCAAACTAAGCTTTACTGTATCATTGGAGGAAAACTGCTCGAGACTCTACATGTCAAACAGCTGTACACAAAGGGAAGTTAATGGAGAAAGTTAGCTGGTCACTTCTGAAAAGTAATTCTGTCAAGGAGAAGTTTTCCTACTTGACTTTTTAGTTACTGCAGCACCTTGTTCATGAAGAGAGGTAGTCAGTTTACATAAGCTTTTAACATTTTATTTTGTTCTCTACTGGTTTAGACGAGAGAGGGTGTTGAGAATACCGTAATGATGCTTGGTACACACCATGTTTCACAGATCACTTGTGGTGATTGTATGGCTAGTGAATATTCCTCAAAGACTCATAAATACAGTTGTATCTTATTTGTTTTTACTAGAGAATAAGGGCACAAAGAACACTACTAGCATGCAGTCACTTTATCCTGTGATTCCAGCCCTGTGGATCTTTTCTTGTTCGTCCATTGGTTCTCCTCAGGCTTACATTACTGAGTCTAAGTATCAGATTAAAGTGAGTGAGGAGTAGGCTGAGGAATCACTTTAAATTGAATTATTGTCACACCTCCTCCAAAAAGTATATGGATTAGCTAGAAAAGTCAAAGCCACACAAATTTCATCCACAGGAACCACGGTTGGCACTTGGACATATTATCTTGGACACCTTTGAACATACCAATTGGTCTTAATAAGGGTCACAGCTTTATAAAGAGGAAGAAAATGAGGTCAGTGTTTTCCTTCTTTAAACTTGCTTTCTTGTTCTCATTATTCTAAGCTACTCGGTAGGGCCTGAAGACGTTGTCAGCTTAGAATGTAAATAGAATAGAACAAGACATAGAATACAGAAAAAGATCATGAAGAAACAAACACTATCTTCCTATTTTTCTTCTGATACATTTTAGAGATGAAAGCCTAGTTCAATTTGGAGTATTGTGGCCAAGGAGTGAGGAGTCATGTAGCTCAGGCCTAGTACTGCCTTTCCCTGGATAGAAAAGCCAAGAGGGTCTTAGGTGGAGAATTCACAAATGCTGAGCAGGGATCTTAAAGGTCTTGGCTGTAGCCAATTGGTGAGCCCAGCCAAACTGAATCTCACGTGTCAGAATTTACAAGGAAAAACGGACAATTTAGTTGTAACTTGTTACTTTGAATTCTCTGATGAATGGATCCCAAATGTCCTGAGTGAGAGTAAAGAAAGCAGAAAACAATGCCATAGAAACTTCTTATTTGCATGTTAGCAATGATAAGCTCAACCTTCAGTCAGCCTCATAAATAAAAAATTCAGCCTTTGTCCATGGCAAAAAGATCCATTTAGTAATCAGGCTGATGCACGAATTACTGTTGGGAGGGTTTTCACGTTTGGAATGAATTTTATGAAGCTGCCAGTACTGTTTTCTCACATCAGAGTTGGATTTTATTTTCCTCTGGTTCTTAACAGACTCCAAAGTAAAATCCTAAGGAGGCGCACTCTCAAGAGTTCTATCACCTTTCAAAAGTCATTTGAAAACCAATATATCAGCAGTGACAGAAGTAACCGGGATTTTACTCCTGCCATATGTCAAGTGCATTTGCAAAAGTTCTTGTAACCATTGAAATTTCAGAATTCATAATAAGAATCTGGGAAAATTGATTTACTGGATTAGCAATCTATGCTGAATGGGTTAAAAACAAGAGCATCTCCTTGTTTGACTTCATCCTCACATGCTTAGCCCTCTCCAGAACTGGTGTGATAATGTTTACTTCTTGAAGATAGCATTAGAGGAGCTTTCTATTCAGAAACATTTGCACATCATCTAATATAAACATAATCACTGATTTCTGCTGGGGTATGAACAATGCCTTAAGTATTTGGTTTGCTACCAGCCTCAGTGTCTTCAATTTCCTCAAGCTGTCCAATTTTTCCAATTTCTTCTTTCTCTGACTGAAGGGGAGAGGAGGTAAAATTGTTTTTGTCATTCTCCTGGGGTTCTTTACATCTCTGTTTGTTAATCTTCTGAGCATAAAATGGGATATTTTTGGGGTCAGTGACTACTTAAAACTTGAAAGAAACTTCACTTGGAAAAAAATGTGTGTGTAAAACCTAGAACTTTGGCATTCAGATTTTTATCAACCTGGGACCCCCTCATCCCTTTGGCTGTGCCCTTCATTTCATTTTTCCTGTTAATCTTTCCCTTTTAGAGACATAGCAGGTGGATGAAGCATCAGGCCAAAGAAACGGGAGACCTCAAAACAGAGGTTCACATGAGAGCCAGAAAAACTGATCTCTTTCATCATTCTCTTAATTGTGCACTATTTGAACACTTGATAATTTGCTCCTACTCCAAACTAAAAACAAACAAACAAAAAACAGTAATTATGATTATTATTGTAGCATCAGTTTATCCTTCAGTTTACTATTTCAATATGATTTGTGGGAACAGAAAACTGAAGCAAGCTTCTATGAGTCTGATAAGGCAAATTAAACCCTGCTTCAAGAAAATATAAGATTTCATAGCATAGAGGAAGCTGAGGAAACTTTTCTCTGAATTCTATTAAATATCCTATGCATTTTGGCATAGATTATTCAATGTAATTCTCACAAAAGTTGTACAAAAAGATATTGAGGTTGATTTTATTTAAGTGATTTCACTATAAGAGTTAGGTGTTAGGGTTTAAATTTACATTTTCTGACTTAAAAGTAAAAGATGGAGTAAAGAAGAATAAATTAAACTCTTCTTATTAGTCTCGATTCTGTTAGTAACAGCACCAAAATTAGTTGAGTAAATAGTCTGATATAGCACTTTATGAAGTTTTTTAATTAATTAAGGGTTTAGTTTTTAAGAAAGAAAATGTATTATAAAAAGTAAATTATAAATAAATCTACTTAATCAGTATGAGATAGTTTTCTTTAGTAAGAAGAAAATTCTAAGAACTTTTAACAACTATATAGCTTTTTATAATGTAGCAAAATTAGAAATATATGTCTTCTTAACATTTTCATTTAATAACAATAGCAAAGTTTCTGAAGGTGACAATGAAAAATTAGTATCATGAGTAAAGCATGTTAAATCACACTGAAACAAAATTTGCTATGACAAAAGTAAAAATCATAAGAAAACTAAAAAAAAGGGTAAGTACTAAAAACATGCTATAAATTAAGAGAAAATATTTGCATCTGGAGAACTTAAACTCTGAACAAGGTGATCGCATCCGTGACAACATATGTGGTTGTACCCTGTGCCCCACCTCAGTGATTGCTGTATTCTCCAATCCATATAGATCTACCCTTGATCTGCTGCAACCCTTGAAATATGGTGCATACAACCATATAGCCATGAATATAACCACTGCTAGGAAAGTCCTCTGCCATGGTCTTCCCGTGAAGTATTTGAGAATATCAAATCAGCTTTTGAAATATAAAAAGTCACCTTTAGGAAGAGGCAAAAGCCCAAATTCATATTGGAAGTTACACAAGAAAGATATCTAAGCATCAGACACAATTCCACTTCATCTTGGTAACTCTGGACTTGGAAGGATCATGGCTGGACTTGACAGCAGTTTTGGGCCAGCCTTTCCTATTCCTTTAAATGAAAGAGTCCTAATCATTGGTAGGGTCTTGTGTGTATCAAGGGTTCAGTTTGTGTCAGTGAATAACAAACCAGCAGAAGTGGTTCTGGAAAAATAGTTACCAAGATAGCAAGTCAAGAGGGGTTAAACTGAGTAAACTGTGTGAAAATTCCATGGTGTGTGTTCCAGAAGCTCTCAATAAAATGAGATAGATTTTCCAAAACAGTGCTATTCTAAATTATGCTATATATTAGTGTAGAGAAAAAAACACTAGGGGATAAAATCTATTTACACATTTGGAGAAAATCAGGGTTACATTTAGTCTGGTTCATGTCATAAACATTTGAGAAACTCCTAAAAAATGAAGAGATAACAAGAAACTGTAATTCCCTTATTGGAACTGACAAAAAAAAAAAAAACCAAATCCTCCCTGCTCTCCTAGATTTATGGGTCACTAATTTAATTACAGCACTTTCAGTCTGAGACCACAGAAATAATCAAAAACCATAAAAAATGAAAAATAAGAAAATAAAAGAAGTCATTCATGGCTTCAGGGGGAAATGTCAGGCCTTGTTTGAAGGCTTACCCTTTAAGATTGAGTAAACGAAATAAAAACAAGCTAAAAACAAAAAAAACTCGAAGCAACAACAAAATATACAGCATTTAAAAACATTCTCTAGCACACAGAAGGTGAAGGAAAAACATTGTTTTAAAGAAGACTCACTGCAGGAAATGAGGATTAATATTAGATAATAGTTACTAAATGTTTTCTATCAAATTCAAGAAAGCAATTCTATGAAAGAAGAAAAAAATGAGATAAAAATTAAAATATGAAAAGGGAACTTGTGAAGAAGTAGACAAAGAAATTTAAAAAAAGAAGCAGCTGAATAAAACAGGAGAGAATTCATGAAACTAAACATATTACAACATAATTTTTTTTTTTTTGAGATAGGGTCTCGCTCTGTTGCCCAGACTGGAGTGCAGTGGCGTGATCTCCACTCACTGCAAGCTCCACCTCCTGGGTTCACGCCATTCTCCTGCCTCAGCCTCCCAAGTAGCTGGGACTACAGGTGCCCTCCATCACACCTGGCTAATTTTTTGTATTTTCAGTAGAGACGAGGTTTCACCGTGTTAGGATCGTCTCGATCTCCTGACCTCGTGACCCTCCTTGGCCTCCCAAAGTGCTGGGATTACAGGCATGAGCCACTGCGCCCAGCCACAACATAATTTTTAAACCAATAAGTCATGATCTACAATAATCAATATGTTATAGATCAAAGTTCAGAAAATAAATGTAGTTGTATAGGACCTTACTTAAAACTAATAAAGGAGAATTATTAGATATGTGATAGCAACTAAATACTATGGAAGTTGTCTTAGATGTTTTAAAATATCTAAAGATATTTTTAAAAAATGATCAATTATCAACCTGCAAAGCAAAACCCAACCCTTACCTTTCACTCTCCAGAAAAAAAAAAATACCCAAGAAATGTTAAGATATATTCTCTGACAGTAACATCATAACAACCAACCGAATAAAACATACATATGTGCATTCGTGAACTTAATAACATTATTTACGTTTTTTTGTTTCTTCATCCAGAAACACATTATTTCTGTCCCTTTCTTCAAAATTTCCACTGATATCCCAGTTAAAGCTTTTTAATTGAAATAGATTATGTCAGGCTAATTATTCATTTATAAGTATAGTTTTTTGTAATATTCTCTGTATATTTAGAAAGGAAACCATGCATTTTATTTTAATGTAAATTTTGAAGATTTTACAATTACTCTTTCTCACTCGTCCCATGTAAGTATGTATTTCTCAGCAAAATAATATGGTCTGCATGTGGATATTTGAAAATTTGTCAGGACTTCCTTTTTGACCTACTACATATTCAATTTTAGTATCTATTCTACCTTTCCCAGAATTATTCTCTCAAGAATATATTTACTCATATAGGGGTATATAATTTTCTCAGTATGTGTAGTTTTTGACCTATTGCTAACATTGCAGGAATTTAAGGAAAGCAACATAAATATTTGCAAACACCCATACACATAATTTTTTACCAACATAGTAGTCAAGATAGCATATCAATGGTTAGTCTCTGAATAGATTTTTGCCCCTCATCCCAGGGGATATTTTGCAATGTCTGGAGACATTTTTGGTTGTCACAGCCGAGGAGGTATGACTGGCACCTTCTAGGTAGAATCCAAGTATGCTGCTAAGCATCCTACAACAGGACAGCTCCCAACAGTGAAGAATTATCCAGCCCAAAGTGTCAGCAGCACTAAGGTTGAGAAACCCTGTAGTGTACAATTGGAAACATTGTAAACCAAGAGAAGGGGAATTATTGAAAAACCAAGTCTGGGTGCGGTGGCTTATGACTGTAATCCCAGCATTCTGGGAGGCAAATGCGGGCAGATCACTTGAGCCCAGGAGTTCAAGACCAGCCTGGGCAACATGGCTAAACCTACAAGAAAAAAATATGAAAAAAAAATCTGTACATATTTATGAAGATATGAAAAAATTACATAAATATGAAAAAATTAGCTGTGTGTGGTGGCTTATGCCTGTGGTCCCACCTACTTGCTGGGACTGAGGTGGAAGAATCATTTGAGCCCAGGAGGTCGAGGCTGCAGTTAGCCAAGATCACATCACTGCACACTTAGATAATAATGACATAGAAGAATATTATTGACATGAAAAATATATAATTATATGTTTATTAGTGGGAAAACTATTATAGAACAACATATTTTAATGTGTTCCCCACCAAACATACTTAAAACTTTAAAGTTGTATAGGAAAGTACTGACAACAAATCTTTTTAAAAAGCTGTTTTGCTGATTTCCAAGTTTCTGTATAGATCATGACCTTATCTGAGTTAATTTTAAAGTCACTTAAAGTTTTCACTTCCTAAGTGGTTGTCTGATGCCTGAGATTCAGTTACCCTGAAAGCTTTACCCACTTTGCACACAACTTTGTTTCCTCGTAAAATGAAAATTCTTTTTATACTACTATGTGAGACTGCATCTTACTTTGTATGGTAACACTGGAAGTGAGTGTTCCTTCAAAAGAGTAGAGACAATCTAAGGACTTTGGTAAAGATGCTAAAATAAAATGCTTCTGTAACCAGAAAGAAAATTAAAATGTTAAAATTAGTGAACATGAAATATAGAGTTATTATATCTACACAACTTAATATTTTTCTTTTTATTTTTGTATTACAGACCTCAGCGTGAAGTTAAAGTTTAACAAATATTATTGTATGATTTGGAAAAGAGAATATTTTCTCATTTATGTTAACCTTCTATACTAAGTGAAGTTTACACAAATAAAGAGAATTACTCAGATTATTAATATGTGTAATAAAGTGACTTAAAATACAATATTTTATTATATGCACCAACCTGTCCCTGGAAATATGTATATATTACCAGTATTTTGAGGAGATGTATTAGTTAAAAAGCTTTTAGTTATAAAAAGAGAAAACCTTGTCTCGAACTCTTGTAAACTATAAAGAATGTGATCAACTCATGTAACTAAGCATCTAAGTAAGAGGGTCCCAGTTACGGTAATATCAGGAGCTGAATGCCATGACTAAGGACCCGGGTTATTTCCCTCTCCATTCTGCTGAACTCAGAATCTTTGTCCTAGAACTCTTTCCTCTGAGGTTATTATAGAAGACGGCCGCCAATGGCAACTGGGTGAATTTTCGTAATCATGTCTAGCCAGAATGAGAAAAGCCTTATTTAACTATGAGTTATAAATCTTTCCTTTCATTATGTTGAAGCCATTTAGGACCTGCTCCCATGCTTGGAACAAGGGCCTGTTGTCAGTACAATGTCATGAATCGATTGACTGAAATGGAATAATCAGAGTTCAACTCTGAAGTGGGGTTTGGAGTGTTTACTTAACAAAAGCATTGTTT